ATTGGAAAATTCTTATTACGTAGACTAACCTTTACCAAAGTATAAATCTGCCTTGATTGTCCATACATTATAAATATTGTGGTCTGACCCGAATAATCTTGCCCCAACCATCGATTTCTTTCTTTTTTTTCACCTGTGCTTTGTGATTTAACAACTGCCATGAAACGTTGTATTGTATTTACGATATCCACAGGATCGCACCGGGAGCCTGTTGATCCGGCAGGACCCTTCCACGGGGCCCCGCGGGGGCAAGGACAGCATTCACCTCTATCGTGACGGTGGCTTCACGAAGCAAGACCTGGCGGCACTCGTGCAGGGCTACCAGGAGGCGTGGTCCGGCCTCAACGGCAGAGATGTTTCCTACAGGTGAGGAATATGAGAGTTTTTTTTTTTGGGGGGGGGGTGTAAACGCATAAAGTAGTCGTTAGACCATAGAGGGGGAGGGGGTGGGTGGGTAGATTAGAAATCACAGGGCGGGCGAAAAAAATGACAGAGACAGACGGAGACAGAGTCAGCACGGAGAAGCGGGCATGCATGCGGGTGGGCAGAGAGGTCTGTGGTGACGACGTCATGTTGTTGAAGACAGCAGTGGCAGCGGAGATGTTGAAAAACTTGACACCTGCTGTCTTTGTAGCACTTAAATGTCGCGGAGAAGGAATTTCACGTGCGAGAATTTTCAGCCAAAAGACGTTACGTGGGGAAAACTACTCCCACCACACGACTGCTGTTTACGAATCTTTGTTGTGTAAGTGAAGTCAGCCTTGTCACGATATGTGCCTGTTGCCATTATGCCATTCAGAACATGCCTGCAGTTGGTGGGACATCCAGCAGTTGTCCAGCTCCCGTACAGCAGTTTCTATGTCGGCACACAAAAAGAAGTTGTTTTTCTGATTTGGATGGCGCCGTTACTACTGTCGGAAATCGTATCTCTTTCTTGTGGATGTCGTAGCCGAGCAGTAATTCGGTGGGGGTTAAGACAGCACTTCAGATATGTACGATTACAATGTTCCGTCGGTGCATGCAGGGCCTGCTTTTGTGCGTCTGTGCTTGTCGTATGCCTCCGTGGGAAGATTTAATGGGAACATTCCGTTTTCCAATGGTTGGACCCATACGGAACGAGAGGGCTGTGGGTAATGAGGTCATGCCGATTTTCTTTCGCTTGTTCAAGAAAGCTATGTAGCAGGTGAACGAACCACATGGAAGGATATACTCGCGCAGGCAAGGAACCGTGCATGCCAACTTGTACATGATGACCTGTAGCTGTTTAACATGCTTAACTTATGTGAATTACATTTATTTGGAAGAGTTGGGAAGTGGGTTTCAAAAAATAGGCATTCGGTGCGGTGACTAAGCGAAGCTTACTGAATATTGGTGCAACAATGATCAGGGCGGGCGTTTATTTGCGAAGGACACGATCGACAACCAGGGAGATAGATGTTAACAGAGACAGGGAGAGGAGAAACTCGAAATATTAATGTACAAAAGGCCAAACTCTGATACTCTTGTTCGTTCGATACACTGTTTTACTGCTGCATGCTGTGGACCCAGGACTTAAAAAGCATACAACAGGAAGAGAACGTAGGTCACATAATAGCTCATCGCCCAGGAAGACTAGATCTTATTTTCCCGGAAAGTGACCCGGGAAAATTACATGCAAATATGCTAATTCTCTTGTTGCAACAGGACCCACCCCCGCACTTACCAACAATTCTGTGGGCAGACGGGGCTTCTTTTTCTGGGACACTCGATGCATGTGTTTATTCAAAAGTCCTCGAGAACGAACCCCTCGACCCACAACAACAGCAGTAATAGTGCATTTTGTTGTGAGCGGGGGGTGTTGTTGCAAGCTTCTCCCAAAACGTCAATCTTCGATGCTGGTGGGGTTGAACGTTGATGTACTACTACTGATGGTGTGCGTGGCGTGCGGTGTCTTTCGGGGGGTTTGGCTGTTGTGTATTGTTGGTGGTGGTGTTACCCCACGAGTGGGGTCAAAAATCAGTGAAACTCCTTCAGGATCCTCTCCGCACGGTTCATCCTAGTAAAAGGCGAGGGTGAAGTTCGTGATGCGAGAGGATCAGAGATACTGATGGAAGAGGTCGTACCAAGCACTTATATATGGTGCGGCCTTATCAGGGGTTATTTGGTCTGCGCCAAACGATCATTTTGCACGTTTCTGATTTTTTCTCAAAAAAAAAACTTGACAGCATCATCCACCTCACATCGCACACGAACACAACCGCCTGCGTGGTGTGATCCCGGGATCCCGGGCATTCTCTCATGCGTGAGGCTTGCGCGTAGAAGGTTGCACGTAAGGTGCAGACTAGTCCCCAGCCACGTCTGTGGCACCCACTACTACAGGCAGACGACCGTTTTCAGAATCCCGGCACTACGCACGAACGACTGCTGCCGCTGTGCGGGCTCTACTGCTGTATGCTGTAATTATGTATTTTCATGATCCTCTTTTTCGCGTGTCACAGCAGCAGCAACGGACAGGTTACAGCAGCAACAGCAGCACCGCCGTATGCTCCCCGAACGCTGCCGCAACCCCACGCCCGGCCTCCACCCGGCCAGCACGGACAAAACTGTGAAGAAATCCACTGTCTTTTGTGCACACATCAGATGCAGATGTGTGTGTGTGCTGTTCTCACACTCTCTCAGCACGGCGTGCACACCATCGGCCGCACTGCCTCCCCGTATCAGATGCTACCTCACCTGCCACACTGCTGTACAGCCGTCCTGCGAACAGTCTACGTTCAGTAACACCAGACATCATGCATCAATGGCCCTTGCCACCCGCCCCACCAGGCGACGAACACATCGAGAAACTCTGCACTGCGTTCCACAATAACACCAGCACAGCAGCACATCAGCTCTCTACTGCGATACCGATCTACATTCCCCTGACTGTACAGCAGTTGCAGCAAGTTCCACCACACCAGCGAACAGCAGCTACAACAGCAGTTCTACACGCGATGGCCTATCAAGAGCTGTACAGCAGATTGCTGCTGTTACAAACGTCTCTCTCTACCGTTGCCACTCGAAAGGATAAGGATGGCTCTGCTACACAGCTGGGTATTGACAATTCAACAGCAGTTGACATGTCCGCTGGACGACGAAAAAGGACTGCTGCTGATTTTTTTCAAATGGACAGAATTTGATGCGTTGGCGCAGACCAAAATAGTGAGTTTAGGAATCGGTGACCAGTCAGGACTATATAATGCCGGTCGCGATCGTTCCCAGACGCATACCTTCTCGGCCTTTTGGCTAAGATCATGTGTAGTATCTGTTCTAATCAGTGTGAAAACTGATTGACACTCATCGAGTGTCATTTTCACACCTGTTTTTGAAATCGCCGGGTTCTCGCTGCTTGCAGTGTTCCGGCAGGATTTCCTCGGCATTCCACTACCGCCTTGTGAGGTCCGTCCCCTCGGGGACACAAACAAACCACCCCACCAAAACAACAACCGCACCCACCCGACACCCCACGGCAACGAAGCAAAAGCCACAAACACTTACTTGATGATACGGTTCAAATGCTGATACGAAAGGTGGTTCAGAGATGGATCCACTCACACGTCATTATTTACGATAGACCTTTTGCTCTGCAATTGATTCTTTATCAAAAACTAGTGATTATCACGAACCTACATAGGCATAGGGTCCATGCACAACAATTTGTCCAACATTCCCCCAGCACTGCTGTACCGAGGTACACTTTTCTCGGGGTGGGGTGGGTGATCCGAAATGTAAAAATACCGTGAAACGCCCTGTCTCCGCATCTTTGTATTGTATGCTTACAGCGGCTCTTTTTGTGTTTCTTCACTATTTTTCCGAGAACTGGAAATTATGGTATCATTTCATCGTTTTAGTGAGGCGTATCCAAACATCTCAACGGATTTGAGCAGCTCTCAGAATTGCCCCAAGTGATTTCTTCGTTTTTCCCATTTTCGAAACTTTGGCGAGATACAGAGTACTGCTGTATTGACAATGTATGGGATTCTGGGGGCCATTTTCCATCGTTTCGTAATAGGATTTAAAAAAATATATTGGACAAACGATTCTTCTCTTCAATTACCATGTCCGCCACCGCGCTCCTCCGAGCGACTTACAAGGAGGAGGTTCCGGGCCTACTTGCGGTACCCCGCGCCACGGCCAGGAGACCTCTCCGCCGCCACTACATATTCCGCCACCACTATCCAGTGGCAGCGGCAGCAGATTGTTGTACAGTTTCGTTTGCCCCTCCGCGGTCTGGAGTCAGCCCTCCTGGAGCCAGCTCATGAAGTACTTCACGCAACTTGGTCCGTAACTTCAGGCGTTCCGTAAGGCTAAGGAACGCCTGAACTTTTCCGATGAAGTTTCAGCTGTTGATAAACCAGCTCCAGCGGCGTTAGCTCCAGACTTCGTAAAGGGCTGCGGAGCGCAGACTTTGTTCTACGTTCGGTTGCCCCGCCGAAGTCTGGAGCCAGAGGGGCTTGATTTGGTTATCAACAACGGTACGTTACGGAACACCTGTACGTACCGACCAATGTTGCAGTTTTTGATAACCAAACATAGCCCCTCTGGTTACAGACTTCGGAAGAGCTAGAGAGCGCGGAATGTGTTGTAGATGGTGGCGGCGGAGAGGTCGGGCGGCGTCCATACGTGGCGCAGTGTGGGCAAGTAGGTCTTGACTTGTTCCTTGCAAGGCGCTTGAAGGAGCTCGTTGGCGGACACACTTATCGTCGACGTGGTCCCCATGTAGCACCTCTCATTTATTTGCGTGATCGCATGACGAAAAGGTCGTATCGTTAGCTCTCCAAGAGCTTTGTGCATATGTTCTTTTGTTGCCGCTACGTGACGCCGTTTTCCCAGCTAGTCGCGACCCTCGGACTTTGTCATTTGGCAAGGTACTTGTGAGTAAATAAAATTAAGCCTTGCACGCAATCGTTATTCACGTGTCCAGTGCCGAAATGTGATGTTCCGCGGTGATGAATCGAAGTGAGATACCCAAGCAAAAGGGTGGTGGGTGGTGCAAGTTTTCCTCTACATCTCTCCGACACGAGAGAGACAAGGGAGTATTCCTTTATCCGTAGACATTGCACTATATTGGCGTTCAGTAGTGGTCCCGATATATCGCGGGGTTTTGACCGACAGTGATCGCCGCGTTGTACGAGACCCGCGCTTTTGGGGGAAGGTCCCTCAACCAAAAGCTATTGGGGGAAGGTTATTGTACTAACTCGAAATTAAGTAATAGGCTGCAGGTGTGCCTGACAAGGATTTTTCCGCGATATATCCGGAACCGCGCTATTCGGGACCGCGATACGATATATCGGGACCAATGCTGCTGTACATACAAAGTTTTCTTGTTTGGGAACCAAGTGAAACCGTTCAGCTACATGCCCAAATTTTCGAGCATGCCTCACCTGCCGCTTGATACTACTTCGGGACTTTGGTTCATGAGTTCTATGTAGGTGCAAAATCCACAGCTTGGGCTTGTTGTGCGGACAAAATTTCACGAGGTTTGGGACCATAAGATACTGGTCCCGGGTCCCGTATTTTTGTATGTTTATAGTACAGGTTTTTAAGTGTAGGTGACTTGCAAACCAAAAGGTGGCCGCATACTCTGCCGTTCTATGTTCAACACTACCTTGGTACATTCGATTTGTGTTCTTTTCCCTCCAACAACCGACCTGACGGCCTGTTTGTACGCATGTGTCATCCCCCCGAAACAGGTTTGTGATCGCTCCTGGGGAGACGGCGACGACGGCGCCGCCGGCGCCGCGATCTCCGGAGAGCGCCACGAGCGCGGCGGGCGGCCCTTCCTCCGCGGTGCCCGGTAGCAAGGCGGCCGGGGCGGAGAAGCTGCGGCAGCTCGGCGTCGAGGTGTTCGACAAGTGAGGCAGAGGACAATACTGTATCTACACTGGTCGGTTGCTGTTGTTGCTCTTTGGGGGCAACAGGAGTGATGGTGGTGGTTGCTAGTGTCGGGGTTGGTTTATTGTGGTGGTGGTAGTGGTGGTGGGGTGCGGTTATTGTGGAATTTGTGTTGTGGCAGCCATTTCTTGTTGCGGTAACTGCACCATCAGTTGTTCGGGGGTAGGGTAAGTGGGGACGATGCCTACCCCGGTCGATGTTGTTGCACTTTTAGCAACGGTGGTGGTGTTGGTTGTGGTTGTCGGCGGTGGTGTTGTTGGTCGTGGGGTGATGGAAGTGATGTTGTTGTTGTAGTTTTTTTTTTCTTCTCGCAATATCGACGCCTCTGAGAGCTTATAGTAGCGCTGTCTGTTTTGCATGACTCTCGTGATGGCACATATATTCGCTCTCCGCATGCGTCTGGTCCTTATTTGTTTTGTTACACACAAACCCCACCCCACCCCCACCTCCGTTTTTGTGTGCTTGTGTGTGTGTATATATATTTTTTTCAGGGCCACCGGGGAAACCCCAGGATGGGATTCTCTCGCGGGGTACGCGGACGTGAAGCAGGAGATCGAGGACACTCTCATCTTGCCGCTCAGACACCCGGTGAGTAAGAAGCCTCACGATGACGGTGGCACCCGCCGCGCGTTGCTATGGGTGCTTCTTCTGCCCGTGGTGTGCTTGCTGGACGTGTGGAGATGCCCTCAAAGAATGGGTAAAATCTACCTCAAGGATGTCAAGGCCGAAGCCCTCTGTTCACAGATGTCTCCTTCACGTCCGATGCCAATCACCGTTGGTTGACCGTGGTGTATGTGCCGTTCTTGTTTCGTCGGGATCGAGCAAGGAAGGAATGTCTGGTGTTGGCGACTGAGGAACCATCCGGTCAGACAGAGACAGAGCGAACGATAGGATCAATCATCCTGTCAAAAGAGTGGAGAAAAAAGAAAACAGACAAGCAGACACTTAGACAGACAGACCAAAAACCAAATTGCGCCGCCTAATTTCAGATGGGCCAGAATGACAGCATCCGCCCTCGTGGACAAACCACGTCCATCCTCTCTGGTACTCATTTTATAGTCACAGTACTATTTTTCCCGGAGGTCGTCGGTTGGCGTTAGGAAGAATATTCATGGTCGTTCGTGCGTGGGTCGTGGTCCATATTTATATATTTATGGAGGGAGGCAGGTCGGGGTGTGAGATGTCTTGGCAAAACGAAACCGCCGACACACATCCACAAGGCAAGCAACGCAGAACGAACGTGGAGCAAGAAAAATAAAACACTTCTCTCTCTCTCTCTCTCTCTCTCTCTCTCTCTCTCTCTCTCTCTCTCTCTCTCTCTCTGACAGAATGATTGATCCTATTATATCGTTTATCTCTCTGTTTCCCTCTGAACGGATGATTCCTTGGCCTTAGCTCCCAACACCAGGTTTTCCTCCCTTATTGAGTCGGTTTTTTCCTCACTCTTTATCTCCTTGCCTCTCTCTCTCTCTCTCTCTGTCTTCCCCTATGCCTCCCCTTCTGCCTGAAACAGGAGGTGTACGATGTCATCGCTCGAAAGACGCGCACCCAGTTCGAGAGCAACCGGCCCCGCGCCGTGCTGTTTGAGGGACCCCCGGGCACGGGCAAGACAGTCAGCGCCAGGGTCATCGCTGGGAGGTGAATGAAGTCCGCGGCTGCTATTACTATTTTTTCCTTGTCTCTTGTTGTTGGCGCTATTTCGGTATTGATCGAACGCTGGGACTGATTTTCCTTCTCTTCGGGGCGTTATTTTCTGTGTTGATTGAACGCGTTACTTGTTTCCCTTGTCTCTCTTAGTGGCGTTTTTGATGTATTGGTTGAACGCTTGTACTGATTGCCATTTTCTCTCATTGGCGTTATTTATTTATTTACTTATTTATTGTTACAGGCTCTTTCGTACGTGTCAATTTTGTCCACCTGGCATTTGTATAGCATGACTTGGGTTCATTTCGATGCTTTTCGGCGGAGAACGTTTTTGAGCCGTTTCTACTGTAGTATTGCTACTCGTTGTCTTCAGGCACAGCCGTTGTTTCTGCACCACGATATATTGCCTCGTGCCTCACGGCCGTTATTTTTTCAATTATACCATATTTCTACCAATATCTGAATCCGCCCTCTAATATTGTTTGGTTGTGTTCAGGTCATGATTTTCGTTTGTATCTGTACCAAAATATACTGCAGATCCGACCGTCCGATGGTCCACGTCCCGGTGGAGAACATCATGTCCAAGTGGTACGGCGAGTCCGAGAAGAAGCTTAGCGCTATCTTCGACGCGTGCGACGAGATGGGGGGAGCGATCATCTTCATCGACGAGGTTGACGCCCTCGCCGGGTCTAGGTCGACCGGGGGCATGCACGAGGCCACCCGCCGAGTGCTCTCAGTCATCCTGCAGAAGGTGATGTTGGTGGTGATGGTGATGGTGATGGTGGTGGTTGTGTTGTTGTTGTTGTCGGTTTTGTTGGTGGTGGTATTGGTATTTGTGTTGTTTGTTGGTGTTGTTGGTGTTGTTGGTGTTGCTTTTGCTGTTGTCGTTGTTTTTATTGATGGGTTGCTGGTATTATTGTTTTTATTGTTCTTGATGACGTGGTCTTCGCTCCCCTTGTTGGTATGGCTTATCGTTTTTCAGGTTTTACGTTTTCATGATGTGCAGTACGTCTACACGCGCTAACACAAAGTCGACTGAACTGCCCACGATTCTGATCTTCACCGTCTAATCTATGGTTTGCTCCTTTGTTTGATTATTCCTTGGTCACAAGGTGGAAGGCTTCGAGAAGGGGTCCAAGAACATTCTCATCTGCGCCACCAACAGGAAAGACGACCTCGACGCGGCCCTCATCAGGTTCGTTCGTTGGTTCGCTTCACAACATGACGTTTTTTGCTTGCACGTGGATACGCGAGAATATAATGGTGCTGATTTCGCATCGCAACATGACTTCGTTTTTTTTCTTGCGCTACAGGGGAACAAAAAATGGTTCTGGTTTTGCATCACAACATGGCGCTTTTTTTTCTTGCACTTCGAGACAGGAGCACAGACTGGTGCTGATTTTGGGTCACAACATGACGCTTTTTTTTCTTGTTCTTGGAGACAGAAGCACAGATTGGTGCTGATTTTGCGTCACAACATGATTTTTTTTTTTTTGTTCTTGCATTTACAGGAGAAGAAAATGGTCCTATTTCGCAACCACAACATGACTTCGTTTTTTTTGTTCGGCACTTCGAGACAGGAGCACAGAAAGGGGCTGATTTTGTTGTTTGCGGCCGATTCCGTCTCTGGGGCGAATTCCACCAATGGAATCAGTCTTGACCCCCTGGACACGACGGTCAGAATCGCAAATAGCACAGCCCTTTTTTTGTGACACCGGGTTTCGTTGTTTCTCTAGGTATATCGCCAAGACAAGAGAATAGAGAAATATTTTTTTGCTGAAAACGAACTCCCCCCAATAATCGACCTGTAATGTTTCGCGTTTTTTAATGTTTTGGATCGTCGCTTTTGGTGTCGTTTGCTCCTCTCTCCCAACTCCCGCAGCCGCTTCCAGCTGTCGATTCAGTTTGGGCTGCCTGACGCTACCACGCGCCGCGAGGTATTCGGGCTGTACGCCAAGCAGCTCTCCCAGCACGAGCTGCAGACTCTGGCCACCATTACCGCGGGGATGTCTGGCCGGGACATGAAGGTGTGTGTGTGGGGGGGGAGGGTGCTTTGAGAGGTGTCGGTGTCGCATGATGTGGTAGTGTTTACCGATCGATTCTCTGCAGTAGCAGCAGCATCAGTAGCTGTTGCTGTTGATGTTGCTATTGCCGGTGTTGTCGTTGTCATTTGTGTTTTTGATGACGGTGTCCAAATGTCGCTTGCTGTTGCTGTCGTCGTCATCGACGTCGTTGCTGCTACTGTCATTGTAGTTGCTGTTGTCGTTGTCGTAGTGTTGTTGATGACGGGCGCCAATCTCTTGTACCCCCTCGAATCTGAAGCGGGCTGCAGGGATCTGACTCTCCGGCTGGCTGCATAACGGGTCTACGCCGCTTGTTTCAGTGCTGTTTTGCCATGTTCAAGTGCTCTAAATAGTATGTCTGCCGTACCTGACTAAACCCGTCGCAGGAGACTTGCCAACACGCCGAGCGCCGGTGGGCGTCGAAGCTGGTGCGAGGGCAGGAGACGAGCGAGCTTCCCTCTTTGAAGGTGAGGGGAGAGATACAGGAGGGGGGCGAGGACGTCCTTACAAAGCCTTACAAAGCGACAATGCCAGGGAGGGGATGGGGTGGTTTTCCCGGCATTTATTGTGCCCAGCCTCCTCGTCTGTGAGGGCCAAATTTTCGCCTTGGTTGTAAGTCGCACGTACACGAAATATTTGAGGGAAAGTAGAGAGGGTGACGACACGACTTTCGGACGCTACTTCCGCCAGCAGGACGCGACTTCTGCCAGCAGGTGCTTACGTGCCTTTAGTTCCATATTCCCCCGCCGTCATGATGTTGGTGTGATTTCTCTCACGTTCAGTTCCATTATAGTAGCGCAGGCCTTTGCCCGCAGGAATGAGGAGCGTATTATTCCCTATTGGGACGCACCGGCAAAATCTTGGCGTACCCTCCCACACCCGTGCCATTCGCTTCCGCCGAACATCTTTCCAATGACCTCACCCCCACCCCCGGAATAGGAATATGTGGACTGCGTCGACAGGCGTAGCCGGGAGGGTGCGTGGCAATCCCGACCTGCCCAAGCATAGGGACAAGACTGCCGGAGAGTGGGTCTACGTCTAGCATGAAAGAAAAGTTTGGGGCTGCATGGCCTTAGGGAAGCACCGGTTGTCACCGCGGAGGAGAGAAGATTGCCGGGAGAAGAAGCACGCTTCGCACGGGACGTATGGCCTACCGGGTTTCTGCACTTTGCCCTTGTCTCTTGACCCACCCCGCCGGGTTGTTTTCCTGCTTTTTTTTTCTCTGCTGATGGAGGAGGGTATTCTGGCTTGTGCTTGTGGGACCGGGTGGGGGTGGGGCTTCGCGTTGGGGATGAAACTGTCGTAGTGGAGTTGTCGATCGTACAGTATCTCTACCAAGTGCTGGTGCGCTGCATCAGCAGTGCATGTCTACTTTGTTCGGGCGGGAGGATCCGTACGAGGGTTGAGGGGGGGGGGGGGGGAGATTTGGTTTTTGAGGACCTGCGGCGTCCGCTGTACTCCCTGTGTTGGTCGGACGTTGTCAGGAGAAATGTCATGGGGGTGACCTGCCATGGGCTCACGCCCTGGGGGGTTTTTCTTCTTGCTGGGGTTAAAAAAAACGAGAAGGGGCTTTGAAAAAGGCCCAAAACTCCTCTTCCCCCACCTAAGCAAACAAAGGGCGGCGGTGCCCCCTTTTTGGAATTTTGGCCAAAGGGGGCCAA